CTTGGGTATAGCAATACGTCTAGCAGGACCGAATTCGACCCACCCCCTAGCCCTCCCCCCCTCGCTAAGCTGCAACATACCTTCCGATGCTGATGATCGTATCGCTTCATTTGCGAGGTCAGTATGAAGCGAAGGGATTGATATGATGCGATGCATAGACATAGTACATATATGCCGCCATAACTACCGTAGCACTTACTGGCACGACGCCAGCGGGAAACTCGTCCGAAATTGCTTACCGAATCGTGTAGGACAAAGGCTTTCGTAGTTTTCGACTGATTCACTTTTCTTTTTCGCCATTTCCTCTCTATATATCCCTGCTACCATTTTAGGCAGGGTACAGAATTATCGTGCCTCGTGCCTTTGAGTCAGTTTATCATTTTTGATTTTTTAACAATTTTTTTAACAATTGCAGGGTATTCGCGAAGTTTTCGAAAAAGCAACACAGGCAGCACTTCAGCAAAAGAAGAAGAAGAAGAGCAAATGTGTACTTCTGTAGAACAATATGTTTAAGTTCGCTTTGCTTATTCTCTTGTCCACGCATCACTGATTACGACGTTTTCTTTTCTTGTTATACGAGGCAGAGCCAGGTTCTCCTAAAATCCCGTGTAGCTGTCATCACAACTTTCTCTTCACCCCTGCGATCTGCCAAGGTGCTGCCGGCCCTAGCTATCGATTTTTCCCCCTTCTCCATTTTCTGATCTTGAATGTGGTCATTCGTGCGCCTAATTCTTGTGACGGTATTTCCACCCACCGATACCATCTGGCCTCATGTTCTGGCTTTGTTTGTCGTATCGATTGGCTATTTTATAAGGTTCAGATTGTTAAATTTGCACTGTAAGGAATCACAATTCTTATCACTTTATTCGAGATAAATGATTAATAATTATTGATTATGCCCTCCAGTGGTAGAACTATAGTAGAGTCGTTAATCGATTAGAAGAGTCGTTCGAGAAGTTGGTCTTCGGCGTCGTTAGGGATCGTCACGTGAAGGTTTTCGTTCTGTAAAAAGTGCTACAAATGTAATTGCCCATTAAGTGGTCCAAAAGACCATTAATTTCAAAAATAGATATACATTGGTGGAATAACACTATGGTTTGTGATTACGCGTGTTGACGCGTCACACTTACAAGGATGGTATTGATCGCCGCCGACCCCCACTGCTCTCATACTTTCCAGAACACTAGCGGCCGGCGTAGGGCGATGTCGCAAATAAGAGGTAAGTGATCTGGGACTCAGCTATGATAGCAAGTTAAATCTCAGCAAGCATTATTAAATACTGGTAAGAAAGGGTTTGCGGGTGCTAACGTAGTTGGGAGGGGCCACGCGGCTCGCGGCGAGTGATGACTCATCGACTCTTCTGCTTTCTCCTCGGCAAAAAAGAAGTAATTTCATGTTTAGGACATGGATATAACACCGTCCTAGCTATATTCAAAAGCTAAAACAGTTAAGGCTGAAAAGTGCGAAGAAACAGTTGTAGGCTGGAAGATTTTGCCTAAAATACAAACGATTGTTGCCTTTTTGTTGATTCTTGACTATAAAAGATCAAACATTTGTTGTTTTCAGCTTCTGTGGGATTTCTCAGCAAGTTTCCGGTGAATCTTGTTTGTTTTATTCTAATTTTGCTGCTAGATTAACGCTCCAAGTATGTCAATGAGTGAAGAGCCGATGAGTCATCACTCGCCGCGAGCCGCGTGGCCCCTCCCAACTACGTTAGCACCGGTTTGCGAAGGACTTTCAACTACTCAAGAGCCCTGCGAAAGAGATAGCTAGGGTGTGTTGCGATCATATAAGCTTTATGTCCGCCCATTATGGAGTCTAGGACCGTGGTATTCAATCCATATAATTAAGAAGATATTCACGCGTTTGAAAGTGTACAGAATTACTTGACGCGTAAACTAATGCTTAGATGTGAACGAGTGAACTGCTCGGAATACCAAGCGGAACCGTTTGGAATGGCTTTTATGGTTTAAAATCACAGGAGTGGAGAAGAAGTAGAAATGATTAGCTAATGGTTTACAAATTACTGAAAAACAGTCAAAATGAAAGCCGTTGACTTTTTTCGCGTGCTGCCTTCTAACTCAAGAGGGGCATCCATTAGACTCTCATATAAACATGCAAGGACTCACCTTCGGTCGAAGTTTTTCGGTAACAGAGTTTGTTCAAGGTTCGATTCCCTTACGGGGCAATGTGTTACAGTTGAAATATCAAGCTTTCAAAAGTCATCTGGGAGATTTTGTAGAGAACAGAACTTAGTTATAAGTTGCTATATAGGATTTGGTGAAGATGAAGTTGTTCAGTTGTAAACTGGTTTTAGTTTTTTAGTTGTGTTTTATTTGTTGATTGTGCTCTGTCACTTCAATCGAATAAATAAAATAAAATGATCGCGCCATTGTTAGTGTAGTGCGTCGATGCGCGACATCGCGAAGCCTGAACGTAACTTTAGGTAGCGATGGTGGCTTTTCTTCCGCTATTGTGGGCATTTTCTACTTTGCCCTCCTTCTCTGACTTCCCAGAAACCGTTTCAAAGTGGGATGTTCACGAACCAATTCCAAACCAGGACAGGACTAGCTCGTTGCTGGAAAAAGAGCAGCAACTATAAAGTTGTGTACTGTGCGGTAGAGGGAGGCTTAGCGACGGATATCCGAAATAATCGAGCATTACCCGATGCATATTGCTTTAGGTTTCGCTTAGGCTCCCAGCCAGCTGCTCCCGCGGTTACATGACTAGTGAAATAATTTCCACCCATGCTTAAGAGCGCAGGTCCATAGGCAGATGACGACGTTGGCTCCTAAAATTCACGGCAAGTACGCTGGGAGCTGTGCAGATCAGGAATTCCCGTGACAAGGCCACGTAGTAGTACTACGTGAAGTTTATTGGCTCCACGTTATGTTATGTTAGGGCGTGGGCGAGCGTGGGCGGTTGTTTTGATCAGTTTTCTTTCTCGGTGAGCTGAAATTCTCTGCGTTCATTCACCAGACGTCCATTTAACGTTGAAGACCAATGGGGCGTTTTCGACGTTTTCATTTTTTTAACCCCACGTCAGTTAGCATCTGCCCCATCATTAATAGGACCCCACTACCCATAATTTGCAATTGCGGCATCTCTAAGGTGCCACGTTCTCGTAGACCTGGGGCTCTTCGGGAAAAGCACTGAAAGCACCGAAGCGGAAAGAGCTGTGAAGATTAAAGGTAAATGGCACGATGAATCGCGAAGACATATAGTACATATAGTATTACACATCTAGCGGACATCTAGCGGAACAGAATGCTGCGACCCTGGACAGGCACTACTTGGCGCTTTTTCCAGGAAAGACCATTGTACAAGCTGTAACGAACCGCCCGGGTACCCACCGCGCCCACAAATGTCCGATTGATGCTGATGCTCGTATCGCTTCATTTATGAAGTACAATATGAAGCGAAGGGATTGGTATGAAGTGGCTGCGGTGCTGCATGGATATATGAGTACATACATGCAGCCGTATCTACGTAGCGGTTATTGGCACGATGCCAACGGGAAACTCGTCCGAAATTGCTTTCCGAGTCGTGTAGAACAAAAGCTTTTCGCAGTTCTTCAACCGATTTGCTTCGCTTTTTCGCCATTTTTCCACGATTCGGCATCTCCGCTACTAGTTTAGACCAAGTACCAAATTATCCGTTTTCTTGCTACGTGAGTGCAAACGACTGTTTTATTTCATCAGCAAAGATACTAAAACAGTATTTTGTGGCTCGGCATCGGCCAACAGCTATAGTTATCTCTTGGCATCCTTCCAATCATTTGAGATTTAGTTGTATTTTCGATTAACATGGGTCCGACAGATTGAAGTTTGTCACTAGCGCAAGGCGTTATCTACGAGACCGATCTTTGATTACGTCGAGGTCCGTTTATTGCCACAAGGGATAAGGGTGTGAGAGGATGAAAACGCTAAAACCGTAGTTTGCCTATGTCTGGAAAAATGAGAGCTACTCAAAGTTATAAGTGTATGGGCTGAAACGACGAGGTCAACCGAAATGTGAAGCTGAAAGGCCAGCTCTGACTACCTTCTAATTTTAATGTTCGCATGAAGAGAAAACGAGCCGCAGTTCAGCTTGGGGAGGGTAAGGAGGGCATGCTGCGCTTTTGCTACTTCCCATAGTCGTACGAACTGTCAAGCAGAGATCTATAAATGAAGCCATGAAGTGATCAGTCTAAGTTTGTAGAGACCGCTGTCGATTCTCGTAAGGAATGCCTGCCAAATCTTGTGAAGCAGCGAACAACACCATGGGAAGTAGCAGAAGTGCAATTACCCCCTCCCCCCAATACTCCTCCTTAGCCAGATTGCGCCGAAACAGGAGCCAACAACCTTTCTAGAGAGGTAGCATGCATCCACTCCCAACGAAAAGGCATCTATTTTGCGCAGGACAATGCGCAGGAAGCAGGCTGCAGGCTGGTCACCTAGCCGTGCTCTGTGCTCTCCTTCCCCTCGCTGGTTTGCTTTCTTCTCCGTCCGTCTTCCGTCCACGCATACTTTGCCAGGCACGTCCTGCGCGGTGGGAGAGTTGTCGGAAAATACGACCCCACCCTCCTCCAGCGACAAATACACAACGCACGACGTGGCTGGTACTTGTTCATCCCTTAGTAACCAGAAGGTCTAAACTCGGGGTGTTTTTTTCTGCTCTCTTCTTCGTTGTTATCTCACACCCGCAACCCACCTCGAAAATTGAAAAATATGCCTTCAGTGGGTTTAGATTCGAATTACTTGTTTACCTCTTAGCCTGCCAAGCTCACCGCTCGAAATAATTGCAGTGCGATTGTAGCGTGTGAATATGGGTCGGCTTCACGACTTCACATTGTGACGGCTACCTTTTCAGCAAGAATTGTACGAGTCGAATAACTCAGAACGAGTGCTAGAATTTCTGGGACCTCTAACAAGTGTTTCGCTCCAATAATACGTCTATTTATGGCAAAATTATAGCGCTGCGTATTCTAAGAATGCAATTCTCCTGCTGAATAGTTTCCATCAAGAGAGAGCGCCCGTTTCCGGCTCGTTGAAGCCGTGGCAATAGTAAATGGAGCATTCATGTCTCACCAATGTTTGCGTTCTCTGAATAGCTTCTCTCGCCTTTCGGTTTCCTGACCAACTACGACGAGCCACTCCATTAGAGACGTCCCACTGAAGCATCGATGTCGCTCGTCTCTTCGCTTCCTGGAGAAATGAATGCAATTCGGCGGGCCATTTCGAGAAATCTCATCTTTCATAACTAGGGATCGAGTCCGAATTTGTCGCAAGAAAATAATTCCGACGTCATTTGATGTGGTGTCAAATTGAGTGAATTAGGTGCGGAGGAAGAGGAAGTGAATCGAATGAAATCTTATTGTTGAATTTGGAATTTAAATTAGAACTCTTCCTAGAATTGTGGTTTCTCAGAGTCGCTTCAGTTGCAACATCCTCGGACTGCATTTGCTGAGTTAAACGAATTCAAGCTGAAACCTCGGATCCGTCGAGAAGCAATCCGAACCCTCCGTTTATCACGTCACCCCATCCGACTCCGCCTCCGTTGTGCAACGACACCCATGTAGCGCCGCGGAATGAGTCACCTGAAATATGATGATAACGTTTGGGGAACCAGTGGGGAAATACTTGAAGTCATTCATTGGAATGCGTACCTATAACGTTCTGAACAGCCATGTCGGCCGTAAAAGCACTGCCGTCGCTGATGTCCGATGTCTCACGGAACGGTGAGTCAGTCCCAGACACATCATGATGGTCTCTCGCTATGACAATTGGTGCCTGAAAATAGGGGCTATTTGAAATTTTAAGGAGTTTACTTCTAAAGAAAACGGAAAGTATGGTGGGCAAAGTCTCCTGTCTTGTTCAATCCCTGAGGATGCGCCACGCGTTTCCTTTTCGTTCACAGCCGTACTGTGAATGAGATATGGCCTAAATTGGCTTACCAGTGTGCACAGAAGAGGGAGGATAAGACGTTTTAAGCTGTTATTGTTTAGTAACTGCTGTTTCTTGTTTAGTAACTGTTTTGTTCTCATCTAAGAGCATCGACGGACGAGCACTGAACTTGTTCTTCGAAATCCTCACAGTAAATCCTAATAATTGACTAACATTGAGAGGATAAGGTTGAACCCTTCAACGTTGACCAATCCCCTTTTGAGATGCAGCACGCTCCATTCAAGATTGTAGTGATGTAGGGATTAGATGCGATGTGACCTATATAATTTCTTTCAGGGGTATAAGTCAGTGATTTTATCCTCCTGGACAAATCTGGAAACCATCTACCGTCTCGGGAGGGTAGAGGACTTGGTTGGCCTGACCGGGAGCCGAGCAGGAATCGCTGTGCGTGGAGCGGAGCAGGAATTCGACCTCAAGACTAGAAAACAGCATTGCACTAGATTACGCTGCTGCAGTATAAGCACATACAATGGCATGCGGCGGAGAGGCTGGGCAACAGATATGCCAGTTTCATCAGCGGGACTGCCAGGAGAACCGTGATTTACAGCGCCGTCTCGCGCGGCTTACTGTCTGGCCATGAGCGCAGGAAATTTCCAGTATGGGCCTCACGCGGCGACGAGCACGAGAATTCAAACTATGCCCCATTTTCTCGACTGGAGCAGCGAAACTCGTGGGAATCGATGCATATTTTCTTATTTTCCCATATTACCGTCAATATTTCGCGTGTTTTTGGCCATTTCCTACCCCGTCAATTGCTGTCATGGCTGGCAATATGGAGCATCAAAACATTTCGCATCCTTGGTAGTAACCCTTCCCGTCCTTTTAAAGGCACTTTCTGCAATAAACTAAGGTCAAAACCTCTTAAATGTGCCTCTTAACTGTGGCAGATGATCCGGTTGGCGATTGTAGAGGTTGCACTGCATTTAAACTTGCAAAATGGCACACAAAGCACAGTAAACTTCTCCTTTAGGCCCAAGGAGACCCATGCCGGCCTACCTTGCCCGTGTCGTCGTACTAATGCCGTTGTGCTCTCTCGCCCGTCATTTTCTGGTCTCTCTCAGCGCTTTCCAGTGTATCATCATCTTCTGCATACAATTGATCTTGACCATCCTACTCTCGTCCGATGATTATGATCGCGTGCAAGGAGGAGGATCATATTGAGTGCGGTTTTTCATACTTTTTCTTCACTACTAAGTCAACTAGCACAATGCACTCTTGTTTTTGAACTCTGCTACTTCGCGGGAAGTCCCTTTAATATTGGAATTCAAATGGCAAGGCGGGAGAACTCGTCTCGGGGAGCGGCGTCGTTCGGCATGTCTGCCGCCGCGGCGAACTACGATTCTCTTGTCGTATACCCCCTTTATCGTACCGGATAAATGTCGTCTCAGGACCTTGTCAACCGCGGAACCTCCCTCCTCCTTCCTTTTTTCTTCCTCCTCCCTTCTTTTCCTTCTCTCCTTCTCTCTTCCCTCCTCCTTTTCCTTCTCCCTTCAACTGCTGGACCAGTAGATGGAGATGGAAAAAAACCTCTGGCCCCTCGTAGCGAGAACATGTCCGGTTGGCAAGAGCCCTGTAACCGATAAATGTGGCACCTATTTTCCGATAAAAGGGGATGGTCTGTTCAATCCGAGACTTGACCACCTGATGTCACATGCACTACACCACCTGGCTGTGGAGTGATGGCATTTAACTGCGCTCAAGCAAGCGTATAGCATGCACAAAAAGAGTTCGAAAAGAGGTGACTGCACAAGTTTTGCGTTTTTTGAAGAAAACCCCTATAGATTTGTGGTCTGGCCATGGCGCTGCCCCTAATCAAGACTCAGAATCAAGGATGAAATAACTTTTTTTTGGCCTATAAATATAGAGGATAGATGCTTCATAAGGATATATGGATCCTCGCGGAATTGTGGAAGAATGACTCATTAGGCATGGTGAGAATGGGGCCGCCATCTAGATAATAAGCGGTTCCACTACCCGGACGTAATGAGTTCTGCTGCTCTGCTCAAGTGAAGAAGTACATACCAACGGTCTCATGTTTTGGATATCGTCAAGGAGGCATTGATTCCCCTCATAAGTAGAAAGAAGGAAAGAGCAGAAGAAAACAGAGCAACCCATCAAAAAAATCAAGAGCCCTGCTTGATTTTCAGCACTGGGCAAGCATGCGGTTGATAAAGAATTATGGACGGTAAAGATGAGTGAAGCTGATTCGAAGAAAACGTGGAATCGAAGGCAGAACGTGAAATAAAAAAATTGCGCGTAGAGGGGTTCAAATAGGGCTGCTAGAGTGCCAAGGAACTCAGAAATGAAGAAAAAGGCAGGAAGAACATCGCGGCTCTTTTCAAAGCTACTTCGCATGACCTGGCAGCGGAGTGAGGGTGTTATTTCTGCCCCTGGCGTTTTTACCGTACACTTTCAAGCGGCGAAGTAGCACACTGTTAGTGGCCGCAACCTCCCACGTTCATTTGATGTTCCTCGCGGCCTCTCATAGCCCTCCCTATGAGGATGCAGTATGTACTAGTTTTGCATCTCAAAAAGGCGAGAGGATAGCGCCGTTCGCTAGTGAAGAGTCGGCCGCCCCGCCCACCTGGCCAGCATAGGGTTCTATATAGGGCATTTTCCATGAT